TGGCTGAATCGTTCTGGTCGCAGTCCTCGGCGATGCTGTAATTTGGTCTGCTCATCTGCCAGAAGTATATTTGGAGGGCGAGACTACCTGCATCGCAGAGATTGGTCTCGTCCACAAGCGTCTTTCGGTGCATACCTGCCAAAAATACACCTAGCTGTCGTCTTCTGCTGCCTCGTGGAGTAAGCGGTAGACAGGGCTTGCTCGAAGAAAGTCGCCGGAAAAGCTTTCGAAGAGACACACCAGGTGGCATAGCTTCTCGACTTCTCAGTTCGGCTTCTATTAAATGGTCGGTCACGTTCGCATTCTGGTCAACTCCAGGCGGACGACGAGGACCTTCATTAGCCAAGCAATCTTTCTATAGCTTTTGGAAACCGGAGAAGCCACATGAAACCTCCATGTTAATACGAGGGCGCTCTATGGGTATTGTGGTTCCTCGGTATTTTTCCTCGTTGTAGTCCACAGGTGATGGAATTCGTACTGAGAAACACTAGGGAATGTCTCGGCCAATGACTGCCGTGAGGTCTTTGACAAAGAAGTTCGGGAAGTAGGTCCCGACGCGCAATCCAACAGCTGAACCCCGAAGCCCACCTTACAGCCTGCTTCAGTGTCTCTCGCATGGCATTCCGCCGCGATGTCATTTGGAGCGTTAAAAGGCACAGGTGTGGAGTCGGGATGGTTCCCTGCGGATGCATAACTCAGAGTGGCACCTTTCATGAGGGTTGTCTTCAGTTTTGGTCACTAGCCGTGATGTACTTGCATCAGATACCGATGAGTCTGCAAGCTCAAGTGGTGAACTTCAGCTGAAAGCTGCAGCTTTGAGATGGAAGGCCTCCCTGAGCTATATCCAGGATAGCGGCCAGGTTAGACTGAGTGGTGGCAAAGAGGTGGGAGGGAGTCAGGCCAAAAGTAGCAATCAGCTAGCAGTTCCATTCCACCCATAATCGCTGCCGCACGCCTTCATACCTATGCCATGCCGCGGCTGGATTTCGAAGGTGGTCTATGGCTGTGCACTACTTCTGTTGTTCTGTCCATAACTTGCGAGCTCCAAGAGCATTGACGGTAGCCACCCAATCGTCGACGTCGTTCTGGAAGCAGCAGAATGGCGGTAGCTCGCAAACAGCTGGCGATGACGATACAGTCTCCGAAACTCCAGAGCATGTCGACGCCAAGCAGCCCAGTTGCTTCGAGAGCTCCATGAGGGAACACGGGAGCTTGCGACGGTTCTCGGGAGGGCTGGCCTCAAGTTATTGCAACGTGGCCACAGCAAACATGTCCTTGAGTGCGCACAAAGTTGGCAATGCGGCCGGTGACAACTTGAAACTGGACGCCAGCAAGGCATTAGTTGTGACGCGGAGTTGTGCGATGGAGTGCTGCAGCTCCGCGGCAGTGTCGGATGATTCGATTGGAGACGGCCGACATCCACGGAGGATACAGTGACTCCGGTCCTCATGGTGTTAGAATACAGGACCAGGGACGCGTGGATGGCGTGGCGTCCCTTGGAGATCCAGTATTGGTCAAAATCGTGGCAATTGGATCCATACCATTAGAGGCGCCAACGGCGTTCCCAGGCAAGTGGACTCTATGTGATGTTGTGCCAGATATATAGGAGGCATGTACGCCGTCCCTAGGCGAGAGGAGCCCATCTGCAAGGTTGGCCGCAAAGTATTGCATCGCTGGACAGGTTTCCCGGAACCACAACGGAGGCCTGGACGCCATCCACTGGTGGTGGAATCGACGAGGAAGCAAGAAAGCGTGACGGTGTTTCTAGGGAATATGCGTGACCTCAAGCTGGCAGCTGAGGTCTACCAAAGCCTTTTTGACGACTGCGCCATTGTCCACGAGAAATAAGACACAACGCCCATATGCCAGGCCGGTTGTTCTTATTCTGCTTCGTCTTTCTCTCCTTCGCGCTGACTGAGCACGAGAGCCAAAGCTCCGTTGCCACTTTTCATCATTACACTATGTATATACATTGATTCGCTTCACATTGACATGAGTAGAAGGGCACACCGAGCGATTTCTGCAACTAGCCACATAACGCACAAGAAATGCACAGAATGAAGAAACATGGTTGGGCATGTTAGCATGTAAAATTAATAATAAATTAATATACATTATAACCATAATTTCTTACAAAAAAAAATAAACTCTGTGCAAGCAATGTTTCACACAGCAAACAGACACATGACATAGCACAATACTGTTGACTACTTTTTTCAATTGACATGAAGATTACCCTGCACATTACATGTCATATTATACACCACTTATGTTACCAAATGTAATTATGAATGTATAAAAACACGCTACATATTTCTCTCATTCCACGTTGTAAGCAGAGCCAGGGTCCTTGACTTGTGAGATGCACTTTGCCCACATGAGAACTATGTTATCTACGCTTAACAGAGATTAACGATTAATGATGTCTTTTCAGATCGAGTGAGTTGTCACAATGATGCATTTTCGAAGGCTAGTCCATTCAATGGTGCAACAAGTGGCCGTTGCTTCACACGGCCACTGTACCTGTCGTTTACCGTATTTTACTGCGATTACCTTTACTTACTCTCTTTACAAGCATACGCATAGGGAAGGGGGGGGGGAAGTCTCAAGACTTTGACATACATGTACACAATCTGCTCAAACTATATATCCTGCCGATAATCAAGCCAGGAAAGCTAATGGCTGCCCCCCCCCCCCCCCCCCTCTCCGAAAAAAAAATTCTGGCTACGCCCCTGGCACATCGAATGGTTTGCGTGCTGTAACAGTGGCATACACTTCAAGCTTTAGTTCCTAACATGCCATAACCACGTTTGCTGACTAGGATATTCATATTTTCTACGAAGTTGCTGGCTACAGCAAAGCATCTTTGTCTTGTGTGTCGTATCCGCTGCTGTCAGTGGACGAATGGCCACGCGGTGTTCTTACCTTATCTGGTATATCGCGTTTTGCGAGTGTTTTGAAGTGGTATAGGGCAAGGGTCAGCGTGCGTACATCCCTGGATTGATTGAGGACACAAACTACAGGTGGCCAACGTGGCCTTCATTTCTCACTGGAATTAGATTGATTGATATGTGGGGTTTAACGTCCCAAAACCACTATATGATTATGAGAGACGCCGTAGTGGAGGGCTCCGGAAATTTAGACCACCTGGGGTTCTTTAACGTGCACCCAAATCTGAGCACACGGGCCTACAACATTTCCGCCTCCATCGGAAATGCAGCCGCCACAGCCGGGATTCGAACCCGCGCCCTGCGGGTCAGCAGCCGAGTACCTTAGCCACTAGACCACCGCGGCGGGGCACTCTCACTGGAATTAGTGCAACTGAGAAAATTTTGAGGCTGGTTGGGCATTTTGGTGCAGCGTGGTGCAATTTCAGCCAATTTCATGGTTTTGGCACAAATCGGTACAAAAAATGGGGAATCGTATCAAATTGGTGCAATTGGCATAGCTGTTGCACTCCTGCGCTGCCCTCTCACAAGCAATTGCAAATATGGGCCAGTGTGCCATAAGCAGTGATAAAAGTGAGCTTTTACTTTTTGGAGCATACTGTACTCCTTTGGAGCAACCATAAGCGTTTTCAGGGTGGAAAAAGTTCTAGCTAGGAGTAGCTATTGGTGTTTTAGGAGCAGATATAAAATTTGCCATATATTATTTAGAGTTCAGAGCATTGCTGAAGCATCTCGTAAATAATGATATTTATTATGAAATATATCTCACAGGCAACAATCAATGTCAAATTCAAGAAGCAAGATGGCCGGTTGTCAAAAATATGCCGTGAAATAAGCTATGTATTTAAAATACTAGTATTGGTCGCAGAAATGAAATCATACCGATGAAGCTGAACGCCACAATTTAGAAGTAACCACGTTCCCATACAACTGTTGCCAAATAAGCAGTAGATAATTGGTATGAAATAGAATGGCAATGCTGCTCATTTTCCCATTTCACAACACTAGCCTGCATGTATAGCTGAAAAAAAAAAAAGCTAAATAACCTATATGCTTGATATATCAGTTCTCACATAAATTAGATTAGAGCCGATCATACTGCACACTATAGTTGCACACTGGGATGATAGTAGACAGATTCTTCCCAGTTTTTTTAGGACTTACCATAAAATGCCGAGCAAGCATCCCTCACCCCCCTACGGTGAAGGATAATCAGGTCGGATTTGGAAGGGGGCACTTGCTCGGTCACGTACTGGTCACTGGCGCTTATTTCAGAAACCCCAAAACAATGAAGGGGGGCACTTGTTCAGTACTTTACACTTTACGATACGAGTTGGAGTCGGTCAAACAGTAAAACATTTTCTCAGTGTCATTGTGGAGCAGTTTCGGAGCAGTCACTAACAAATATTGCATTTTGGAGCAGCATTTCTCTTTTGGAGCAGTTTGGAGCACAACTTCATCACTGCATTAACAGGTCAGTTAAAGTGCAGGTATGCAACAGCTGCGTCAAAACCATGAAATCTGCAAAAATTGTGCCCCACTGTGCCTAAATGCTCGAACAGCCTCAAAATTTTCTCAGTTGCGCTAATTTCGGCAAGAAATAGATGCCACGTTGGCCCCCTGTAGTTTGTGTCAGCAATTAATCCAGGTGCACATACCCTAACCTTAAACCACGATGCATGGTGTAAGATATATACTCATTAGGCCTGGACACTCGTGAAATGTGACTGACCAGATAAAGTAACAATGCCGCACGGCCATTGGTTCGCTGACCGCAGCGGATATCTATCGGCGGGACGACACAACTTCAAGACAAAAATGCCGCCGTGACTTGTGTTGTATTACCTGATGTGTAGTGCGTTATGGGTAGAAATATGGGATTGCCTCACATATGGAAATGTGTTGATGGACGGTCTGAATTAAGTGAGAAATGTAATTCTAGGAGTCAAATGAACAGATGCTTACTATAGAAAGTGCATGTTTTTTTTCAGTTATGCAAATAACATGCAAAGTGGGCAACTTTTTATGATATATTCACAATGATTTACTTACCCAACCATTCTGATGTTGGTTTCAAATACAGATACAACAATGTCACTGTCAAAGTTGACATCCCGGATAACAAGTTTAACAGCCCTTTCAAATTCCTCCATGTCACCTAAAAGCTGAAAAAGAAAATAAGGCATGTGTCATAAAATTATTGTTTATGACTACTATACTTATACAAACTAGAAACACGAAAAATGGCATTTCATGCTTTTTTTTAACAATGTCATTTTTACAACTTTCTATTTAACACTAAGTTCCAGTTTAAAATTGAGTCGCATAGGTTGTATCCCCCCCCCCCCTTACCCCCAATTGAAAGTAAACCCTTTACAGCTTCAATATGCTTCACTGCATCTGATTATTGTATTGCGGCAAAGTCGCATTTCAAGCTTCGCTATGATTGAAATTTCAAAAAAGAAAAAAAAGAATATGGTCAACATTCGATTAAAAGTGACCGCTCTAGATTTTCAATGTGTTTCACCCCATCACATTCGTATTGCAGCAAAGCTGCCTTTCAGGCTTCGCTATCATCGCAAATGTATAAATGTATTGACTAAAAAAAAAAAAAAATGCTGGTTCCAACATTGATATGAGAGATGTGGCAGAGGTTGCGGCTCAGGTAATGCTGTTTTGGACTTGAAACTTAAGCAGGAAGTCAGAAGTATCGGGAACTGAAGATTTATAGCATTCAAAATTTCAAATGTTCTTATATATTGACATCTAAGAGGCAGATTTGGAATTCTGAACTCTAAGGGAGCTCACCCGTGTTTACCACATCACTTGAGCTTCCACAGGAGTTAAAAGAGGAAAAGTGGCTGAGGAAATAGCATCTTTGCATTTAATGTGTAAAGTGTTGTCGGCGACACTCAGTTTGCACCAAATCATGTACATAAAATATAATTCGGCTTCTGCCATGCCTCATTCTTGATGAGACATCCATGAAATACCACCCCACCAGCACTTTACAAACCTAGCCAAAAGAAACACTTTCATGTTGCCACCATAAGAATATGCTTAGAATTCCTCTCCAACTTTTTTCCTGCAAATTTCACTTCAACGTATTTTAAATATAATCCATTCAATTTGCCCTCACGCTTCAACGTTCAAATTCACTTCGCACCCAACATTTTGCTATTCGCCTCTACTTATAAGCAAAATCCAAGTCCTGGAACATTTCTAACGCACAACGTTTACCCTCGTATTCAGAAATTATCCTCGACTTGAACTTGACTTGCCAGTGCCTTCAATGCAGCGCAAATGCATTTCAAGCACGCTTTCTTTAGCAGTGCCAAGGCTGCACAAACACGTTTCAAATGCGCTGCCTTGATTAAGACAGTGGCAAGTCAAGTTCAAGTCAAGGAGCGTTTCTGAATATGGGGGTAAGAATGCAAGGAAAATGCTCAATATGTTCAAAGGCTTCTCTTAACACTCAGTTACTGAAACAAAAAAAGGTACAAGAATAATCCTGTATCAACACTTAATGATGCTGCCAAGTCAGTTATGTAGTACAGACAGAACCTATGTATTAGCAAATGGTTCTTTTAAAAATTGGTCTAGCACAAAAGTAACATGTGAGTAGCCTGCATGACAAACATGCCAGTATGTGTTCACATGATAAAAAGTCCCAGTGCTGAACTATGGGCCCCCTTCTCCAATTAGTGTTGACGTGGGCATTTACATATCAAACTTTCAACCTATAACCCCTCAAGCAGCAGTGGCTATGGTTGTGTACACAACTTGTTTGTGCTAATTGTGTGAACTTGTGGTTGAAAGAGAGCAAAATGCGCTGCACATTGGATGAATTGAACCGTATGTTTGGTACGTCTTGACATAAACTCTGTGTGCTACATATGACTGTAGATGATAACTTTGGTGAATGCACTACAATGCTCGGCGGTTGTTTCATGAGCCACGCTGGAGGACCAACGTCAAAAATATTACTTTTTTCCTTTTTTCGATATTACTACAACTAAAAAATTATTGTGTGCACTATCTGGAGTCTATGATTTCATTTTTTCATATCAGAAAGAAATGTGACTGACTGCAGAATAATTAGATATTGAAATTGCATTCTAATTACAATTAACAACTGGAATTCAAAACAACACACTTCATTTTCCTTTTTAGAATACAACATTGAGTGCCTTGCAGTTATGCTATGAGAGCTCGACACATTCATCATAACTCGCACCTGAAGGGATAATCTTGAGCCAGTTTTGCAAAGCGTAATGCAATGCCAATAACCTAAGCATTCCAAAATTATTAACCAGCCTTCTGAATTTGTGCAACGGTGCACAGGTGTGAATTACTGTCAGGGGAGCCAACTCATAAAAAAGGATTAAAGATTGGCTAAAGAGCATATGGCAGGGATTTCCAAATACTAACAGGCATTTAGTGTTGTCGGTAAAGCAAAAAGTGCAAAATCACCTTATTGTGCCAGTACAAGCACATGGAGCTAAAACTTGGAGGATAAAAAAAAACTAGAGAAAATGTTAGGGAGACGCAGGATAAAATGGAGCAGAAAATGATAGGTGTAACATTAAAAGATCAGAAGGCAGCAGAATAAATTAGAGAACAAACATCGGTTGCAGGCTTTTAATTTACATTAAAAAATGCAAATAAAAAAATGAGCAGGCTATATTATGCGTAAGACAGTCAACCAGTGGTCAGTAAGAGATGAGGAGAAACACAGCCGTGTGTGGCAGCAGGTTCGGTGGAGTGATGAAATCGAGTTCAAAGCATAAAATGAAACACGCTTGTGCAGGATAGGGTAAATTGGAGATCATTGGGAGAGGCCTTCATCCACCAGCATACATAGAGAAGTGATGAAATCGAGTTCAGAAGTGTAAAATGAAACACGCTTGTGCAGGATAGGGTAAATTGGAAATCGTTGGGAGAGGCCTTCATCCACCAGCATACATAGAGAAGCCTGAAAACAATGATGAATCTAATGAATGTATCTTTGAATGAATGTATCATGAATGAATGAATCTAATGAATGTATCAGACTGCAGTACTGTCTTATGTCTCTTGCATAACATGCACTTTTAGTTTTCACACAACCACTTATACTGGATTATTTAGTAGTGTACATATACTGTACAACTTTTAGTTTACATATTTAGTGTAGTACAACTTTAGGTTAATAGTATTAACCCATTAATACATACTGTGTTGATTATTGATGTGAAAATGACAATTTCAAAATCCTTTTAATGGTGTACTTCATAAGTGAGCACCTGTACACTATTTTAAATTACTAGTGTATACAAATTTGTTATATGTAAGCGGTTATTTTCCATTTTTCAGAATATGCAGAATATGTTACAGTAGAATACCATTGCAATTACTATCTAATACAACTAAACTGCATGTGCAACTGGGAACCTTCATGCCCATTGTCCTCACTTCCCCTTCAACTTCAAAAAATATTACCTGCTCAACCCATGAATCAATGAATAACTTCGTTTCGACTTCGAGGACAGGCTATACCAATTGTACATAAACAACAATACAGGTAACCTGGCTAGGAGCTTTAAAAATAGCCACTTTAAGTTACTGAAACTATCATTTTATAATTAACTATTACAATATAATTACAACATTATCATAAAAATAATGACATTTTACAAATTTCTCTTCGTGCTATCTATAAACAAAACAAAAGGGCAACACACTTAAAAAGAAAGAGGGAGAGATAAAAATAAGGACTTTAAGCATCTAAATGTGGCACTGTTGGATGGCTTGTTTCACTAAGCTTGTGCAGATTGATATCCGCTAATGGAATTGATCAATTCATTTTAGATATGTGCCTCCCTGCAGATCTTTTCCTCCAAATGCATATGTAGGTATGCTTGTTTTTTCAGCAATAAATATAAGATAAAATGTAATCAGGAGAAAGTAAATTGAAGCAATTCATAAGATAATAAAAAACTAGAAATGAAACAGTAGGTGCAACACTCTTGCCACAACATCCTTCTTAATGCTACTGATATCAAGATGTCCAGTGCACAAGATATGTCATTTGATGTTTTAAGCATTCCTAGATATCATGACCTATGATCTCCTGTGCCTTTAACATTCTATCTTATGACTTTATGAAAGCTGGCTTCTGATGCATGCCTGGCTTTAGACATTGCATTTCAACGCCACTGTTTTATGGCAGTTTACTATTTCATGAAGCTAGAAATACAGATAATATACCAGGAAGGTGAACTGAAGGCTTTGTTCAAAAATTTGGTGATGGATGTCAAACTGCTTCACAGAGGGTAGCTGTGTAGAATAGAAGCGGACATCACTGCATGTAGAAGTAAACTTTATTACACATAAAATGATTCTATTTGTTTGGAGGTTTTGCCCTGCTGTGGTGGTCTAGTGGCTAAGATGCTCGGCTGCTGACCCGCAAGTCGCGGGATCGAATCTCGGCTGCGGCAGCTGCCTTTTCGATAGAGGTGAGAATGCTGCAAGCCCGTGTGCTCAAATTTGGGTGCACGTTAAAGAACCCCAGGAGGCCGAAATTACCGGAGCCTTCTATTACAGCATCTCTCATAATCATTTGGTGGTTTTGGGACGTTAAACCTCACATATCAAATAATTGTTTGGAGGTTTTCAAATCGGTAATACCAAGGAATGCCTTTTGTTAAAGCTGTGAAATGCACCCAGAATGAAAAAATACCTCCACATGACTCCTTTACCACCAAAATGAAAATAAATAGTATTATAAACATATAGCTATCAGAAATATGATGCTGCCCCTCTTAGCATGTCTGAGAGGCATTACCTTTTTTTTTCCATTTCTTGCATTGTACTTCAAACTGCTATGTTATGCCCCCACAGAGTAATGCTTCCCCTGCTCTGCTTATAACTGTGCCCCACTTTAGAACGAGTATGGCCTCCTTTAAAATTTGGCAGGTGTCGTGAGGTGATAATGACACAATGGTATTACTCTCTGCCACCACATGATGCCACCACCTTAGTAGCAATCATTTTTATTTTGTCCGAAGGTACTGATTCATTGTGATGTCTTCAGAACTACATACAATGGCCTTTGTATTTACACTACCTTCAAACAAAAAATTAACGACATCTTTCCAAAGGGAAGCCTGATAGGATGCGAAGC